TTGATTATCTCCCTTTTTGTACAGTTTCAGCGTGGGGAAGCTCGTGACTTTAGTGAACTCGAGTTCATTGACGGTAGCATCCATCTTGGCTACAACGATGTTACTGTTGTCTTTGAAATGTTTTCCAACCTGAAAGTGAATGAGACATATTAGATTAAAATTACCGTCATCTTTCTATGACATACTTTGTCGTAAATTGGAGCCAACTGTTTGCAGTGTCCGCACCAGGGAGCGTAGAACTCTACCAAAACGTCTTTTTCAGTGTCGAGTGCCACTTCTTCAAAGTTGCTGGCAACCAGAACCTTAACGGGTTCCTTATCCCAGTCTTCGGGAAGATCCTGACTGAGTAGGTGCTGCTTCAGTTTTCCGTCCAAGAAGTCCTGAACGAATTTCTGAATGGTTTCCGCGCTCAGATCATCACTGTCAGGTTTGTATTTGGCCATGTCTTCCTCCAACTTGATAAGTCTGGCAGCTGGCACTTCTTTCTTTTGCATTCCAAAGAACTCTAGGATTCTTTGATGGTCTTCTTCGTCAGCGTCGATAGTGACGAACAATACTTGTTCTTTGAATGGTTTGGCTACTGACCTAGCGGCTTCTGAGATCTTCTCGAAGGATTCGTCNTATCTGATTTCTACTAAGTGGGTACATTTTTTACTGCTACAGAAACGAAGGGTTTATGAAAACTTTTTTTTTATATCGAAATAATTATGGCTAAAATTATAGTTTCATCTGTTGTTTGTTAGGGGATGTACGAATTCCATTTGTCTCTATTATCACAACATAACAGCGTGGTCTCCTTTATATGTCTACTATAAGTAGACCACATATAAAGTGGAAAAAAGTTTTTATGGTAGATCATCCTCAAAATGGGCCCTACATGTGGAGGATATAAATATGATGATATAACACAAAAACAGAATATACAAATCCTTGAGCAAAGGAGGATTACTTCATATTTGTTTTCATAATAAATTATTATTAGGTGATATTAACTGTCCTCTTCTATATTGTCCCAAATTTCTCTGAAGGTTCCAATTAGACAAAGCAGGGATACCAAAATATTCCATACCAACACTATGGCAGTAATTCACTTCTAAATCAAACTTTTAATAGAATCACTCGGTATGGTTATGAATATATCATTAAGGTTGAATTATTCAAGTTTTGAATAATAGGTATTTTATCCAAAACAGTGCTGATGAGATGATAAGGCTGATGAGTTAATTCATTGTTCACGTAGAAGTAGTTGTTTCGAAAGGATTTTTTCTTTCAGGTTGTATGTGAAAGAATTTCCTTGTATGATCTCCATAATTTTCTACATTTTCCGTTAAATGATATTGAAGTAGAAAACCTAAAAGCATTTTTTCACCAAAAAACTAATCCCTCCTAAAATATCCCCTTTTCAATTTAAATTTTATATTTGTTTCAGTAGTTTTGAGTAGGTTATCTATTTTACAATTTGCTTACTATAAATAAATAAGTTATCAATATCATGTACATACAGCCACTCTATCTGCTTGTATTCGATTCATTAAGACACCAATAATGGTTAAAAATAAACACTAAATACACTAAAAAATGAGTCTATTGAACACCTAATCATCATCTCCTGAAAATGCTAAGTTGGTTAGCGAAACACATGTCGTTAGACAGCATTTTTGTCCTGTTGTGAGAAAAGTGTTTTCAGTAATAGTTTCACGATAAAGTGTTGATCAGATTCATCATCATGGATTTTCATCAAGTACCAGAAACTTCCAACCCTCTTCTTGAAGCTAATTGAAGCAACATTTATATTTTTTATATCAATTTCATATTAATTGAGCCATCTTTTAGTAAGTTGTTAAAGTTTGCCCAAGACATAGAAATAACTATTAGACAAAATTAATTTACATTTTATCCAATCTACCTTCTGGAAACATGCCATTGATTCCATTGAATGACGGATATAATGCTGTTATGATTACAATATTTCAAATTTTTCAACATGATTTTAATTTGAAGAGTTTTTCATGTTTTCAACGAGAAAATAGCTATGGTCCACCCCTCCATTGCTAACACATGACTGGATAATCTAGGTTAGGTTAGGTTAAAAGTAAGTTTGTATGGTGAGTGTACTTTCAGGTCAGATGGTAAGAGTACGGCTCTTCCAAGCTCTGAAAACCTGATTCGGTTCCCAGCGGGGCAGGCACAAAGTATGTGCTCTGCTGTTTCATCATTTTTCAAACAGAGGCGACACACACTGTCTTCCGACAGTCCGAGTCTCTGCATATGATGATTCAAATGACACTGGCCTGTAAGAAGGCCTGTTAGACATCTTAATTCATCCCTACTGCAGTCCAACAACTGTTTGGTATCAAGCTTCGAAGGGTAAATAAACCCTTGCCATCCAGGTGTTCAATGTTTGTTTCGCGAAGCTCAAAGCGATGCCAATGACAGGTTCTGATCCGTTAAAGCTGCTTGCAGCACCCTCCTTTGCAAGGGAGTCAGCAGCCTCATTGCCTTCCAGGCCAGTATGGCAGGAATTCATTCCAGAGACAATCTGTTAGGTTTTCCTATCAAGTAGAGTCGTTTTTGGCAATTTGCTACCAATTTAGACACTGCTCAGTAGGAGACAAGCACTTTCAACGCCGCTTGACTGTCCGAGAATATTTGACTTGTGTATGAGGTTGGATTCTTCCACAATCTCTCTGCACACAATTCAATAGCATAAATTCCCCCTTGAAATGCAGTCGCAGGTTCCTAGTCAGGTTGATATCTCTGTACTAGGTCTGCGACTGTTTAATCTATTTTGGATAGCAAAAATATAGCTTACCTTCTTGAATAAGACGATCGAGTCGGAAGCTGCTTCATACTCACTGGAAACGCCATCATCAGCAGAAATACCAAAAGGAATGTCATCTATGGCAGCAGCAACACCCAAGAATGCTTTGGCTTCCTCGGTGGATTGATCCTTGAAGAAACCGATCACAGCAACCTTATTAGCTTCGATGAATTCTTTAGCTTCATCAACGGATGAAAGTTCCTTGGCAGGTGGGCCAGTTTTCTTCAATAGCCAACTGACAATGTCATCGGCTTGTCTTCCTCCTGTGAGAGATACATTTTTTTGTTTTATAATATACTCGTAAATTTTAAAAAATCTTAAATAAAACAAAAAATCATTTGGGTACCACAAGAAAAAGTTTTAGGGTCACTTTCTATATATGAGTTAACTTCATGAGCTTTTCTATTTAATTCCACGTGAAATTAAGAGTCTTACAGATAATTATTATACATTTTTGAGAGTGAAAATTATACAAAATGAGATATTTATTATTTAATAGAGACTTTGCTAAGAATGTTTAATTACCATTCTCAGTTATAAAAATAAATCAAATATTAGATTGAGATGCACTGTTTGGAAACCTTTGCTGTAGTAATAAATATTGCTGGAGTTTAGTTCCAACACCAAACCGTTATTTCAACACCTCGACATGTGTTTCGATCACCAAGTCATCATCTTCAAGAGGAAGATTAAATTTAAATCTTCCTCTTGAAGATGATCACTTGGTGATCATTGAAGATTAAAGTTCAATCTCCCTCTTGAAGATGATCACTTGGTGATTAAAACATGTGTCGAGGGGTTAAAAGTAACAGTTTAGTGTTGGGACTAAACTTCAGTAATATTCAAATATGAGTTAGTAAACAGTATATGTATGTTATTACACACAATTCTCAAAGTTAAAAAAAAATACATATTACAGTAAGCCAAAGCCAAAAATCAAGAACCAAAAAAATGCCATAATTTTCCTTCAAACAAAAAATTCAAAAATTTCCTCTATGAGTTAATTTTTTTATATCAATCATAATCCTAACTGCATATATTCAATTTCAATATTTTCTGGCAGTATTTGATACAAGATCACAATGACAACCTGTTTGAAGTTTTTAGACTATAATCTTGAATGAATATATATAGGATATATTTGCATTCATTAAAAGAAATTGTATATGAATAAACAATCAACAACTGATAACAACTGCTAAATATTTGTAATGAATATTTGAAAAATATCCACATAATTTCATACATAAAGTAATAACTTGAGTGTCCCAGTAATTTTTTCAAATATGCTAGGTACTTTTTAATGGCAAACACAAGGTATGTTAGGATGAAAAAGTTTCATTGTAATCAATTTTTTTTATTGAAAAATTTTAGTCGGTGTGTGATGTATCTACTTGTATATATTAATTTTTTTAAATTCATTGTGCTGATCTTTAACGTATACAATCCATATTCCTGAATTGTATGTAGATTTAAAATTATGTATTTTGTGGCGTGTTTTTACTGACAACGAAAATTCCTGAAATGGATTTAGATTTAAGATTTGGTATTTTCCGACGTACTTTTACAGACAATATATTCTGACACTGTTTTCATGTAGGACTTCAAATATTTTGTGACATAAATAAACATACCAATCTATGTATACTAAATTAGAAAAACTTGTTTGAGCATCATAATCAAATAATTCTTACCGGAATATTCAGAAGGACTTCCTTTTCTGAAGAACTTCAGAGTAGGGTAACCTCTAACTCCAAACTCCTCGGCAAGGTCTTGTTCTTCAGTTGCATCAACTTTTGCAAGCTTGATAGGCGAGCTTTGTTCTGCTAACTGCTTGGCTGCCTTTGCATATTCCGGAGTTAAGGCCTTGCAGTGTCCACACCATGGAGCATCTTTAAATAAAACAAAAGTATGTAACAAACTGAAACTGACATTTTTATACAAACTGTACTACAGTAATGTCATCTACCATAGTAAGAGAGTGGTCCCAGAAGTACCCGGGCCAACAAAAAAAAAAAACACAAACATTTTGGAAAAAACTTACATATTTATTTTTCAACATCTTACAGCTCTATACACATTTCCCAGTGACCTTTTGATGATAAGAACTGTCTTGCTCCTCAAAATAGCCATTGCTGACACCACTTCTTCATCTTTAGAGAATCTTTGACCACTGAGCAATTATTTCAAGTTTGGGAACAGAAAATATTCCAAGGGGGCTAAATCTGGCGAATTGGGTGCATGAGGTAGCAATTCAAACTTCAATTCATTAATTTTGGTCATTAGGGTCATTACTTGAACAATCGAAAACAAACTGTAGTATTAGATTCCATAAAACCCAAGACAAGAGAAAGTTATCATAAAGGTGTACCTCAAGACTCCATTTTGGGACCTTTTTTCTTTATAATATTCTCGAGCGACATAAAGAACAACTATGTTACTGCAGATCAAATCATTCTCTATGCAGATGATACGAATGTCCAGAACAAATAATGAACAACTAGTAAAGAATGGTAATAAGGCATTATTTGTGAACTGGTGCATTGTCTTGATGAAACAATACTTTTTTCTTAGCCAACTGTGACCGTTCTAGCCTGATTTCTTAACTCAAACGTTGCAATAAGTTCGCATAATACTCGCTGTTGATAATTTTACCTTTTTTAAGAGAGCCATGAAAATTATCCCACTTGCATCCCCAATTCCTCTGCCAAAAAATTCAGTAAAATGTTCTTTGCATTTTCGACTCCGAAAAATAACTTCAATAAAGGGCGTTTGCCAGATTTGTATTACTGTCTCATATATTCAACTCTGTGTATGAACATACGGTTTGGGGACAATCAGTGGAAGTAGTAAGGGTTTTTGTTATTCAAAAAAGATGTATAGTAGAGCTTTTTTTTGACAAGAAGTGTCCTAAACGCTAGTGATATATTTTCAAGTCGGAGAACTCAACAGAGATAAAAAGTAATAAAAATCCATAAAACATAAAAAATTAAAATTATTCATGTATGTAGTCTATTGAGCAATCATTAGTGTGATAAATAAAGTTGATATTCCAACCTTTTGACTTGGAGATAAGAGAGGAGCCTAGTAACAATGCAAAGTAATGAACAAGAACGCTTAAAATATAAAGATAACAATTTCTCAGGACGGTATTCACTCAGAGTGAAAAATTCATGTTCTTGAGAAAGATCCTTCTATTCACTCGCTAATATACTAGGTGATCTTTTCTAGTTTAGACTAATATAGAAAAAAATAATATTCTAGAAATCAAACATTATATGTTGAGAAATTTTCAGAAAGTATCAAATAGGTGATACGAGGGTGGTTTGGAAAGTTTCCGATCTCAACATGAAGATGGCAGCACTCGTAAATAAAAGCTAGTGAATTTCGTTGTTCATCTGTTGACAGTTACTCACCAAAGTTACAGCCATGTTGGAAACGCAGTTGTTATATAACAGTCGTTTGAGTGAGTCAATGAGAGTGTTTTTATGAAAATGGACAAAATCAAGTGAGCTGCCATTAAATATTTGTATTTGAAAGGCAAAGATAACTTGGATTCTGTGTATGGAGACTCTGCATCATCATTTACCGCAGTGAAATTTTGGGCAGTTAAATTCAAACGTGGCCGTAAGTGCTTGGGAGAAGATGAACGTTTGCTAGACCACCGCCGAATTAAAGTGAGAGAGATAGCTGAGGTTATGAACATGTCAAAAGAACGTGTTTGTCACATATTTGATCAACATTTAGGCATGAGAAAGCTGTCCGCGCGTTGGGTGTCGCATTTGCTCAGTTTAGACAAAAAACTTGTTCGGATGAACATTTCCAAAGCTCCGTTGGCGCAGTTTAGGCGCAATGAATCCGAGTTTTGGCGCCGATTAATTACTGTAAATGAAACTTGGATACACCATTATACGCTTGAAACAAAAATTCAGTCCAAACAGCGGACTGCAAAGGGGAAAACAGCTCCAAAAAAACAAAAACTGTTTTTTCGTTTGGAAAAGTAATGGCGACTGTTTTTTAGGATAGCCATGGAGTTATTTTAATCAATTATCTTGAGAAAGGAAAAACCATTACAGGAGCATACCTACTACACATCATTAATTTACAAGCTGAAGGCAGAACTTACGAAAAAACGGCCACATTTGCAGGAAAAGGAAATCCTGTTTCACCAAGACAACGCACCATCTCACACATCAGCGTTTGCCATGGCGACAATTTACGAATTACGGTTTGAACTGCTTGACCATCCACCTTACTCACCATCATAGAAAATAGCAATTGCTCTTGAATTCAAATTTCTCATAATGTTGATTTTACTGTGAAAGTTGTGTTTTGAACAATAATTTAAAAATCTTTAAAAAAAAATTTGGTTTATGATACCAGTCTGCTTTCAAATTCGGTTTGCATCTTTTTTTAAGAAAAATTGATAATGTTACCCAACTAACCCTTCTTGAAAAAAATTTTTGGATTACAAAAGCAGTTAATTGTTCATAACTTATATTAAAGTGGGAGTCTAATATTTTATGAATTTCATCAGCACTAGAGTGGGAGTATTGATCAACCTGTTAGGTGAACTCCCTATTATACTTTGGTTTTTGAAAATAACATGAAAAAAATCATGTTGTACAAGAAAAAGAGACATCATTTAACCCAAGTTACATATCATGATGCCAAAAAATTATTCTATAAAATACAAAATTTCATGTTGAAAGTTAGGAAGCTTTAAGTAAATAGCAAAGTTTTGATTGCACCAGCCTTTTTTAATTTTGATAGATAAGAACCAGCACGTATATGTGATAATATCTACTTGTTGAAAAAACCACCAAAATTAAAAAAATTGTGTTTATAAATGGTTTTTGGTACGGTTTCTGATAATTTTTTTTCTACAAGAAAAATGTGGAAAATTTCTAGCTTTTCCTAGAATCGACAGTGAGAAAAATAATTTTACATTCTAAGAAAAAAAAAAGTTTAGTTATTACCGGAAAAATATATCTCGCCCACTAATTATTGAATCTACTGCGATACCGTTAGTTTACATTTTTCGTAAATAATAGAATTTAAAAACTATATTTGAAACTAGCTTATGGTATTAATATTTCTAATAGTACTCACAAAATTCTACCAAGATGAACTCATTGTCAGAAACTGCAGACTTGAAGTTTTCTTTATTCAAAATCAGGACTCCATCTTCGGTGGCAATTTCATCCGAAAAAACTACATTTATCACATGCAGTAAAAACACAAATACGCCCAGCTTCATTTCGTATGATTTGAGTGAATATTTGGCCAAAATAAATGAATTATTTATCCTACTTTCGACGTTTTCTTCAGACCAACGTGGCACTCAAACCAATCCACATTAACTTCAAAGTGGACGACCTCTTATCACGAAATGAACTGTAAAAGTGAAGATTCCAAATATTTTTACCGGGTTGTGTTTTTGACTACGTGCTTGACTTATTTGTGCTTCTGATGACGAAGCACTAACACTTCGTGTGGATTTCTGATTGGCTGAAAACAGTGAGTAGAGAAAACGCCAAATACCATGGAATCCTTAGAACTCAAACAAATAATTATAATTAGGGCAAGTTTTCAAAATTGACTGTTGATGGATCGGTGAACATTGATTGACATATAAAAAGTTAACCGTCCTTAAATTCATTGGTTACTCCATCAAGTTGTCGACAACGCGTTTGTATATCTCTGAAAGATGATGAAACCAATCGATGTCCTTTAGATCCATCACGATGAAAAACCGGTAGATTGTTTGGCCTCCCCACCCCAATGATGTCCATAATCGTTGTCCCCACCCCACCTCTTTTTGAGTAATTTGAGCTTATGGTATGGTATTAGGTATTATGGTCTCAGGCTCAGAGTAATGATATACTCTGAGGTCTCAGGCGTTTACAGTTTGAAGACAATCAACCTNTAATGTTTTGAATGCCTACATCTTGAAGAAATTACTGAATTTTTTTCGTCGGGACCCTTATTTTACGACTTTCAAAATAGTACCTGAAAAAGTATGTTATTCGTTACTGGTAATTAGTTACCCTATACATTTTTAATCAATAATATATTTTCATATCAATGAGGTTATTCAGATCAAGTACACAGGAAACTGCACGAACGTTTTCAAAAGAAATTTTGTAAATTGTGTCAGTAGTCAGTAGCATAGTTTTTTTACGTCCGAAACGTACTTCACAGCATGTTCGAAACCTGTATTCCACTAGTAATTTTACTACCTTTTGATTTGTAATCAAAAATACATTTTGTTTTCAATATTTTTCATTTTGAGTATACATAGAGCACAATTTTGAAAACTGAGTCAGTGATGAAGTTTTATTATTCAAGTTTCTGAAATCATTTTCATATCGGAATTTAATAGTATCAAAATTATTCTTTTTGTGTCATAACCGATATGCCAGATGTTATTCTTTTTTGAAATTAATGAGAGAAATATTTAAATCCGTTCAAATTTGACAAAGATGTAGAAAATTCTGCCTTGCTAATCTTCCCTACCCGACTCGCCTGCTTGGATTCGCAACGCTTAAAAAGTTTAACGCTCATATTCACGTTTAATTGCGTATTTCGTTGATATGCATTATTTCATCATTATCCCATCTGTAAACGTCTATACAAAATTTCAGATCAGTCGGTTGAGCATAACGGCTTAAAATTGAGTTTCAAGATCTGACCTGAACAACATTCATACATATGTATACACAAACATTGCAAGTTATATAAAGATCAGAGTAATAGCCAGCAGGCTTGTATTGTTTCAAATTATGAATGAACTGACCCGTCAATTGATGAAAAATGCATAGGCGTATCTGAAGGTTGGGATGAGTTCACATGAAAGACAACTGGCTGTTGACTGTAGTTGAATGAAATTTGAAGTATCAGACCTTTCGTCTGCTACTGCGGAAGACATTGTCAGCGGTATATGTACGTTGACTGAGAACATGTAGGTTACATCTAGAAGTCTCAACAATTTTCATTCGATCACGACGTACCAGCCCAGACCTTGTCCGCTCTAATAGATAAAATGTCAATAATATACTAACAATAAATTGATAACAATAACAATGAAGCTTTTCATTTTGTTCTCTTCAATCGTGACTCCAGCTGTGAAAGCAAATGTTCTTATATAACAGGAATTATTCACAACATTTATCAAAGGAAGCCAATAATAAAGAGAAATTCACTTCAACCACCAAAAGTTACTTTTTCTCGCCGTATATTTGGGGAAAATTGATTTTCACCATCCGTTTTCTGACCGCTTTCTTCACATTCAATTCGAAAATGTTATGGTACTACCACACATGCACAATGCAATTCGTTCCGCAATAATATAGGTAATATGTCTGTGATAAATCAAATTTGACCCCTCTGCTACAGGTGTATTTATTGTTTTTTGGATATATAACCCTTCACAATCTAATAAGGACAAACTGGAAAGTTCACCCGAAAAGTAACTACGTTATATAAACCACTGAAGATTCCAATTCAGATTGTGTAAGGTTATATACCTAAAAAACAGTAGGATGCGTCTCAAAACATTTTAAACCTCTTGGTGTGTGGTATTAAACGTCCTCACTAGTATTCTCGATTCATATTCTTTTACTGTAGGTTCATCTATAACACAATATCCGTAATTCTGTATCCATGGTTCAGAACAATAAAATATATATATATGACACGGAATGAAGCTTTCAATTCTTGAATGTCAGTAATGTCACAGATTACTGTCAATGTCACTAATCATTAATGTCAGTAAAGTTAGTTGCAACTGTTGGAATCGTCGAATTGTTATGTTCATTTTGAAGTAAATTAACAAAATGTCTTTTTTATCCAATGCACTTATTGGAAATCCATTTTCTACTCCAGTAGGAAGCAGAATAGGTGAGCATGTTAGATAATAACCGGTTTTATCAAAATGACAAAATGTTGATAATTGCGAATTTCTGATTTCAATGTCAACTCCGCAAAATTGGTAGAATAATATTAAATTGTTCATTTACTTCGTTTTATCAGTCACAGTCTAAAATTATTGTGCACATTTAGTTTTTCTCAGTACATGTTTTCAAGATTTATTAACACCATAATAACACTATGATATAGTTTCAATTATCTCTAATTGTTTTCAAGTATGCATTAACATTGTGAAACATCAAGCTACAGTAAAATGAACACAATGACAGATATAATTTCCATATCAATATTTTTTTCAATGTTAAGTCGTTGTTTCAGTCCAAAACACATTATTGTTTGTAATTTTGATTACTAGTATGTACCTCCATAATAATGTGTAACAATTTTGTTATTATTCAGGGGATTGCAAAATCGTTTCTAGTAAATTCTTTTATGAATCAAAATTACTATTAATGAAACTCACTTATTGTACTTAGGCTTTCCATATGTATTTGAAATCAGACTTAAATCAAAAGCGCTAAAAAAAATTGTGATTTATCAGTCAATTATCATAAGTCTTTGGAGAAATGGATATTTCTCTTACTTATTTTTAATATATTGGTATTGGTATTGGTATTGTTCTTTTTATGATCTGCTAGATTCATTCTTTAACTTTCATCAATAAATAATGCTACTTGTTGCATCTTCAAACAAAGGAATAGACTGTCTCAGTATTTTCTTTTCTTATGGGATATACCCTTCATTATCAACTGTTCTTAAATTTGTATAAATCTTCAACATTGTCTTTTTTTTGTCATTATTTTTACTTTTACAGGAGTGTAAACACAAAATTAAATGTTTTATTCAGTCCAATTTACATATGGGAAAATATGAATATGATAGTAATTATAGATATTGGTTTATATCATAAATGACATTGAATGGCTGAAGATCATCAAAAATGTGGATATAATGATTTTTTTTCAATATACGGAAATCTAAAAGAACATTTGGTTCTAATGGAATTTGTATTCTGACATCGGTCAGACCAAGCGAGCTATTAAAACTCGTTTCAAAGAACATGTAGCACATATTTGATTTCGTAGACTATGAAAATTTAGTGTCGCTCAATGAAAACTGTCTGAAATAGTTGAATAGTTGAAATAGTTGAAAGTGTACCCAGTAAGATGTCAATTGAGAATAGTTTTATAGTTAGGAATTAGTGTACCTCGTCTCCTGGAGACGCCAACTCGATTGGTAAAACGCGTGTCGAGAAGAGGGTTGCAGTTCTGTTTTAGTCGCAATAATTGTTTTAGATTTATTCTACTTCAGCTATACCTCTCATTAACGATACAGACATCAACGAAAATGGAGGGAATATGATATAGCAGAATTCTCTCATTGATTTGAATATTATTATCTCAATAGGTATAGAATACAAAAAATATAGATAATGTTTGGTTTGTTTCAATTCATGTTCCTGGATGTATTATAAGTATTCATCAGCTCTTTTTTGAAAGTTATTGTGGAGAAATACTTATAAACTGTTTATGCTTGAGGAAGCTATTGTATAGCGAAACACGTGTCGCGGTTTTTGTAAAACCCTTTATAGTGAAAATCATATAATAAACTGTATTGATTAGTTTTTTATTATTGCTTGATCTATTCGCGGGTAGATGGCGCTGTACGTAACCTCCTTGATATATCGACATTATTGCTTGATCTATTCGCGGGCAGATGGCGCTGCGCTGTACGAAAATATCAATAATCATTTTTCTAAACAATATACGGCTGATTGATCCCACAGTTTAGATAAAATAAATATAGTTCAAAAAGACTAAAACACACGCTTTTATAGCATACGAAACTAAAAAATTGAAAATAAATACAATAAATAGATGGATGATACGCTTAAGCAGAACTGGGGCAATGGTGATCATTCAGGTACTGCAGAATACTGAATTGTTGATTTTCTGTCAGACTCTTATCAGATATAAAATATGGTTTGAAATATGTATATGTTATGGTTTGATGACTAATGTGTTTTGTCGCATATTCTCAAATATCTTTATCTAGATCTAGACTATTAATGGTAGTTGTTTATAAACAATTTTGTTTTGCTGAATTGTTACATAAATTTTTCTGCAATCATAATGAGTGTCTAGAGTTCTTTGAATGGTCTGAATTATCTTCTCTATATAGTAATATTTCATGTGGTGTATATTCTTATCAATTACCTTTGATATCTAGGTTATTTAGCCTAATTTTTCACCCACAGAAATTTTGTGGGTGCTGGTAGTTTCTTACTTTATCATAATCTTGGGTAAATTATAACTTCTTTTCCATTCTGGGCATTGAAAGCTGTGGTATTCATATTCAATTTCAGTAATTGTATGTATCGTTTATTTAGCACAAGCTAANAGCTCCACACATTTATTGTTTAATGTTAAGAAGAAGAAATTAAAAGCTTTTTCCCCAAAAAGATACTATTCTTAATCTTACATTTTGGTCACCGCAAAATGGCGATTTATCATTTTCATAGATGATATGGGTAAGAAATGAAAAGATTTGATGAAAGGAATATAAGCCAAGTGACGTTATTCTAAAGGCAACATTGGAGACGTTTCCGTATTGAGGAGCTGAACAAAACAAAACTTACAGAAACAAAATTATTTTTATAATGATGCATTATCGGAAATGGATAGGTCAATACCTACAAAGTAAAAAATGTGAAATTAAATGATAATTAAAATGTATTTTTAAAAACAAGATTTTATTGATGTGTGCTATGCTAATGAACTGAAAAGAACAGAATAAGTTTTGCTCAGTATAATTGAACTATACCTAGAAATACAATATGGAATATTAGGATGGGGTGTAGCATGAGGGTTTGCTGGCCAGACTTCGATGCTATAGCTTGTCGGATCATTTCTGTGTATGGCTCTCCAGATTCCTGAGAGAAAGTTTCCTGCAAGTGGCCGTCAATGGATATCTCTTGAATACTTTTATCATCAACGCTGGTATTCTCCAGGGATCCATATTGTCTCTAAACCTCTTTCTATTGTATATCAACGATTTATTGGAAAAAACCAAAAATCCAATACAGCACACTTGTCTCGTCATTCCATTTGGATTCCAGGACATTGGTACGGAGGCACATCTTTACCGGCAGCAGGAGGTTACATATCTTACTGAGAATCTAGAAGTGATTTCGAATTGGGGTAAATGTAACCAGGTTCAATTCAATGCCTCAAAAACCCAGGCATAGGTTTTCTCCAAGAAGATAAATGTCTCCGAATCGGATATAATAATATCAGGACAGACAATTCCACTTTCTGCTTCGATAAGTTTTTTGGGGGTTCAAATGAACACCAATATGTCTTGGCACAATCATGTCGCTGGAATTGCAAAGGCTGCTTCTCAAAAGCTTGGGACACTGTTCCGAACCAGAAAACTGTACAAACCTCAGCAACTTTTGATGCTTTATAAAGCTCAGATCAGACCTTTGGAGTATTGTTCACATGTATGGAGCTCTGCCCCCAAACATACCCTGAAGTTGCTGGATTCCATCCAGAAAAGAGCTATCCGCCTGATTGGAGACAGAAACATCACTTGCATCCTTGATAGTCTGGAACATCGAAGAAAGGTTGGAGATCTGTCACTCTTTTATACAGGGCTTTTCAAATTCGTTTCTGTACATGGGGATCTCGTAAACGATAAGAGATAGAGTGTCGGTTAAATTATGGCAAAGTTGCGTATTTTAGAGACCTATTCAATTATGTAAATAAATCGAATATAGCTCTTTTGGTTCTGGAGATATACAGAAAAAACCAAAAAATCCCAAATTATTTTTTTGCCTATATCTTCTTTTTTCGCAGATATATTGAAAATCTGTCCTCATTTTGCTATTGGCATTTGATATGGGCTCTCAGAATGTATCCATGAATCTTTTATACATGGTGTCATAAGACTTGGGCCACCCCCATCTTTGAATTTTTAAATACGGACCTATATTTTTTGTTGTAGTTTTTGGATCGAAGACGTTCACTTCACACTGAGAAATTGAATTCAATTTTATATTTCGTGGTTTTTTGGTAATATTCGATTATAAGTGTGTGAATTGTTCCCTTTTAAATTACGGCCCTGGAAATTGGTTGACTGAGTTGAATAAAAATACAATAACAACTTTCACGTCTCCCTATGTACCGTAGAGTTTTTCGAGAGTTTTTTTTTTAATTTTTAGGTACCTATTCATATTGTTTCTATTGCTTTGAGCGTTTTCTACAATAAACTTCGAATAAGAAAACCTTTTATGATTATCTGAAACATATCTACAACACAAATATATTATATGTGTTTTGATGAGCAGAAAAAAATGGTAGCAATAATAACATCCGAAACGAACACTATAATTATAATGAAAATTGAAATGAAGTAAGTAATCTAAGAATAAATAAATATCATATAAAT